GTTCATCTGCAAATATTATTGTTTGGCAAAATTGACCTGAGATTCATTAACGTTCGGAAGCCTTTTCGTTAGTTTCTTTAATTTATTACGATTAATGTACTCATTGTTTTTGATGATAGGAACTCGATACTTTATTCTATATTTACGTCCCGATGACCTAGTGGTAAGCATGAAAGCATAGCAGTTGCTAAATTTCAAGTTCGAATCCTCAACAAACTTTTTTTCAGATTTCTTAAATTATTTTTTTATAATATATGCAACAATAGTACATGGTGGATAATAATTTATTCTTGTGTCTTTTCTTTTAAAAAATCATAACTTTGATACATAGATGTACATGTAAAATAAAGTTCATAATTTTAATTGGTACAGTCGAACAATGGGTGATTAGCATGTTCAAAAACTTAGTAGTTAAATTTTTGCAAAATATAATAAATATAAAATACGAGTAAATATAAAAACATAAAAGAAATAATGTTTCGATAAGAATTTGATATTCAGCCTTCAATTTGAAACTAAAGATATCACTGAGGCTATTTAGGCAAGTGTTATGTAAGTAACTTTAAGTTTTACATAAACCAAGTATACCGTTATGCCATACTTTAAAATCCGTATGATTTACTTTGGAATCGACGAAAGGTCATTGAATATTCAAATATATAAGGCCAATATTGCCAAAACAATACCGTTTAATAAATATCTATGCGACACCAATTCAACTGATGTTTTATCACAACCTATCATGTAGACATTTTTGTAAAATAAAATAATAATACGCCAGTAGCATTAAAACAAATCAAAATTAAGGTAACATTGGAATATTGATGAGAAATGAAACCTTTGTTTTTAATATGTAAATGTTATTTTTGCAGAAGAAATCCACAACTGAAATGGCAACAACGCTTGTGGTAAAGAGGGATGACACAAGGGGGTTAAAATTGTACTACCTTATTATCGAAGGAGGTGGTCTAGTCTTAAGATGTGTTCTAGACAGAAAATTCTCCACGGAAGCTAGATCGATAATCGATCCGGACATTAAATTAGAACTACAAAAGTTGAAGTTGAGAGGTATTTTAAAGGAATCGCAATTAGAAAAGATTTACCCAAGCTCAGGTGCATTATCATCATCTGAAGATTATGATATGACTCTTCTAGTTGCTTTACTCAGGGCTATATTTTGTGACAGGAATTATACAGGATGGTTTGAAGGCAATGAACCTGCTGTCAACGATCATTCTGATGAAGCTGAAATAGTGCGCATCAGAAACCTAAGAAATACAGTATGTTTATAAATATTTATTTATAAATTCATTTTGTCCGTCAGTAACAGTACATACGTTACCTAATTAAATCCCTGGATTTCAAAAGAAACTCCTTGTCATATTAGTTTTACCTTCTGAAAATGTAACGGTTATAGGCATAAACATGTATACATTGTATATTGTTATTATATTTTGGACTTTGGATTTTGTGTTTTACTTTTATCTTGAAAAACATTATCAATCGCTTCCATTTTAATGTCGTCCAATGTAAATTTTAATTTCAGAAGCTTCAGATAAAATAGTATTCAGAATATGGAAACAATACAGTATGCTTTCTAAGAGATCTTCTTCTATTTAAATGATAACGTAATCCCTACATTGCGTTTGCTCCGACACGCAGTCAGAATTCTTTTTGTGACTGTGTTGAACGAGTGACCGAAATAGGCTACCTGATCTTGGATATTTATTCTCGAGTGTTTCTTTTTTGTTATCCGTCTAGCCTCTCTGGTGTTTTCGACATCTTTAAAAGTTTAGTTTGTTCTTTTTTTATCCAAGTTGAATTTTTATTTGGCAAGTAAAGGTCAGTCCATTGCTGGAGCTTATTTAAGTTTTTATATCTTTTGTTACATTTATCTAGAATTTTAACATTATTTTAGTCATTTTAAAACCGTCGGTATTGTAATCAGAGGTAGGTACCTTTGAAGCACCTGTGTAAGCAACATAAATGTCAAAGGCCTATCAACGGATTTTCTATGTGCAAAAATAAAAAGCAATTTGAGAGAAGTAGTAAGAGAAATGTTTAATGCATTTTTGAATGAACATTCATAGGTAAAATTGGTACATACAGTATATGAAAGAGTGTAAAATACTTTTTCATTCTGGATTTAAATTAAGAAACTAAAAACATTCAACAATTCTGTCAATCGTGCTATTTAGCTTTCTTTTTAAGCAAAGGTGAACAAAATTCTCCGCCCTTTCCGTCAAACTTCTAATAAGGATAACGGACACTATTGTATATATGTACACATAACGGATACAGTATTTTGGTCTAACCTACACTCAAATAACTAACCATGTACACAAGTATTATATAATTGCTGGGACTTGTAACTTTAGTTATTAAAAGTCGTAATGGTGTGTATAAGTTCACTTAAATTAAGTAAATTCAAAGACCTAGTACTAAAAGGCACATTATCTATATTCCATTTCCTATGTTTTTGAAATGTATTTCTGTTCACGATTTTTCAGGTTTGTCTAGCATTGGTTTAATTGATTCTTATTGTCAGAAATATAGTTCAGTTATAGATTTACCAAAATTGACTTTTCGTTGGATGTTAAATAAATACATTCCTCTTATATTACAAAAATACACCATGTGTTCTGTTTACATCTGAAGTGACGGGGCTTTACTTTCAATCCTTAATAAATCCTAGATTGTAATAAATAATAGTCAGGGTGTTTCGAATGAAAGTGAAAAAATTGCTTAGCTTGGCTTTCTATTTCTTCCGATTTACTCCAAAACTGTGTTTTTTATCTTAGAAAAGTACGACACTGACTACGGATAATTTTTCTCCGCATCACAACAATGCATATGTGTTAAATAGCTGATAAGCACCGACCAGACCGATATTAACTAAATGAAATATTAATAAAAGAGAAAGCTATTTTATTTTAAGTACAATACATGCCTTTTTGGCCGGTTGCACAGGTGCAAATCCGGGTTATAGTATGGTGAATGCCGGGCGGTTGGGCGGGGAAAATATTTTCGTAACAGTTTTCTCAGCAACTACTTATCACAGCCTCTTGATATTTGGCATACAGCTTAGACGCATGGTCTTATACCGTGGGATTCGATTTCAGGTGTGTAGCTCATCCACTTCCTGTTTACCCACTTAGTTAAATTTTCGACATTAATGGTGATGGCAGGAAATTTTAGTACCAGTTTTCTGTGCAACTACTTATCACAGCCTCTTGATATTTGGCATACAGCATTGACAAATGGTCCCATACTGTAGGATTCGATTTCAGGTGTGTAGCTCATCCACTTCATGTTTACCCACTTAGTTAAATTTTCGACATTAATAGTGAATGGTAGGAAATTTTCGTAACAGTTTCTCTGCAACTACTTATCACAGCCTCTTGATATTTGGCATATAGCATTGACACATGGTTCCATACCGTGGGATCCGATTTCAGGTGTGTAGCTCATCCACTTCCTGTTTACCAACTTAGTTAAATTTTCAACATTAATGGTCAATGGTAAATTTTTTACATAACATTACAGCCTCATGATATTTGGTCTTCAAATGCAACCCGGCCTTTTCTGTCTTTGACCCATTTTTTAAAGTATTATTTAATCAATTATTAAAATGTTTAGAAATAACGAATCAGACTGGATGTTAAAGTATTTACGTTGGTGGTTGTTGGAAATAGGTAAAACGTGCAGCATAAGTGTTTGCCAGATGCCATTGTAGCATCATATGAACGGAAAACATGATAGGAACGGACAATACAATAAAACACTTAAGTAAACTATACCAATTTTAACAGTGGAGTGCATCTGAATCCCCCCCCCCCCAAAAAAAAAATACAAACTTTAATCTGCCGCATAATCATGTCTTCCACACGCAAGTTTCATCGGCATAACTGGTTATTTTCTTCTTTGTTTGTAGTGACAGTCATTTTATATTATTAAATTACAAAAAGGAAATAAAAATTATGACTTTATCGTTGCAGATTCTGATTTAGTTTAAAACTGAGGTATTGAGTTGTTAATTTGAAAACCTTATACAGGATTTGTGTGTCATACAACGTTCTTATTTTGTTTTCAAGATTATACATAAGGCGAAAACTGGACTGACTGAAACTGTATTTCGGAAACTTTGGCAAGACGTAACTGAGGTAAATAATCATATACACATACATTCGGTCAATATGTCATCAATTTTGTTCGTAAAATTACACAAATTTTAAAGTGGCAAAACTATGTCTTATTGTATTATTTAAGAAAAGGTTCATTCGGTGCTAGGGGGCATGAGAGATGTTGCACTTTTACATTATCTTTAATGAACAAACTCAATTAAATCGAATTTCTTATATAATATTGATGTTTTCGATGCCTCCGAGGGATACCATTTACCCAGATGTTTGTACGTAGCTGGATATTTTGAGTAAAATCCACCTTTACTACTGTCGTTTTAAGCAAATATGTGTTTAACTTTAGATAATGATGAGATATCTAATGTGCTACAAAGAGTGTGCTTTTTTGGGTGTTCCATTTTATAGTTACAAATTATGCTACATTTACAAGTATTTCGTCTATTGAACTGTTCTAATACAAATGTTTTAGATGTCAGAAAGTCAGAATGGTCATGTTAATCACTATTTGAAACCTGTTAAAACCTAGTAAAAACCCTTCTAAATTCAGTACATCAAACGTTTTTCTTTCAAAATGTGATTTAACACTGTAACAAAATTTCCATCAGGTATTGGTGCGGTTTGGATCAAGGGACATTCCAGATCTAAAATCCAAGTTGGACAAACTCGAATCAGATACAATAGACAAAGAACTTGAAAATGCTATTCTTAACAATTTGAATCAATGGATTGAGATGGAGAAAACTTTGGAAGGGTTTGTGGTTCAAACAATAAAAGAGCACAGTCCAAAAGGTAAGGTTATGTGTTGATTACGCTACAATGTTTTTTTTTAAAGTATCAAGTCTGTATCATTTTACGAGCTTACCTCTATTCTATTCTATTCAAAGTGTAAGATGTTGTTTAAAGATGGAATGGAGAAAATTAATTGACTAGAATGGACTGTGTCCCTATAAATTAATGTTTATTCTTTCCAACGTCGACAATTTGTGCACTGCAATGAAGTAGATTCATTTTTAGCTAAAGTCGAGCTATTATGATCACTGAGTCCTCGTCGATGACATCGGGCAAAAACTGTTACGTATTCTTTTATTCAAACATTGTAATAGATATTAACACGAAGCTTTAAACACCGAAAACAAAATGTAATTGCTTATCTTGTAAAGACGCAGTCGTTAGATAATGTGCATTATTCTGAAAGCTATAATATTAGAGTTATGCCCCTTTTAAACTTAGAATTGTAATAAAAATTGCTAATTAGGTAAAATTATTTCAAAACTTTGAAATATATCTTTAGCGTTATGCCTCTTTTTTAAATGAGATTTTCTGTTAAAATTGGCTATTGATATTCGTTGTTATTAAGAGATGGATATAAACAGTTCTTGCAATGTTATTTTCTTATTTGATATAAACAAACTTACGCATAACTTAGAACACTAGTATATCTTGGCATTTTTCATAGAGTGATGTTATATTTTCGATTCTCGAAGATCGTTCAGCACGACATTATTGTTGTGTATACATGTTATGTGGTACTTTAAGTTTCTTCTTTTTTGCCATTTTACAACTTGGGTGGTTCCAGTATTCCTACTTGAATACTGTATAATCACCCCTTAAGATATTTTGCCTGCTTTTTAAAATTGTCTTTTGACGTCTTACCTGTGATATGCAGGCTTCATAACCCCAGACCTCCTTTCAAAATTCCATTTTATTGAGTTCCGCCCATTGTTTTCTCGTTTAGGGCAAAAGCATTCTTTTACTTGGGGACCGTACGCCGCTTTTCATGGAATGGCACTACTGTGTCACATTGAAGGTTCCATGATAACCGCCGTATGAACACATCTGCGGATGTTTTTAAATTCAAAATTTTACCATTTTCGTGTTAAATGTTGAAATCTGCTTAAGCCGATGCTAGGGGGCGTGGACGGTAACTTGCACTTTCAAGTACCGTCCATGAACAGGCTCAATCAAACCGAGTCTGCAACATTTTCAATTTTGTTGTGTTGGACTTTATTTAGGGATTCTGTTTTTCTCTATTCAATCATTTCATTCAAACAAAATTGGCATGATGAAGCCTTGTTTGCATGAACAAGTATATTAGTTTTGACTTTAATTAAACCACTGTTTGCACTGCCTTTTCTTAGCTTTCTTTGATAAAGATGATAAAATGAAGACTTATAAAATTTTTTAATTGAAGGGACAAAAAATTGATGCAAATACACATAAATTATTTCCTTTATTATCTGTACAGAAGTTATATTTCTGCTTTGATATGAATATTATCAATAGGTTTAAGTATCTAATAATCGACACATCCTAAACATTACAAATCTGTGGTATGTAAGGCGAGGAAATATATATTGTTTTGCAAATTCTGGTCGAAATGCAGTTTTATATTATTTAATTTGATTTGAATCAAACGGTCAAAATCAACGGTAAATAGAATTTTCTACTTTGTCTCCATTTATTGTTTTGATAATGCTCAAATGTTCATGGAACAAACTTATACCACAATTATAGATACATGTAATAGATTAAGCAAGTATTGTCCTTCATATTATACGCTTTTTTATTATTATCATACATTAAATCAAACGTTTCTTTCTTTCAGCAAATGCTCTTGGTAAGCCTTTTTAACGTTCTATTTCCTTTAATATCAATGTTTATTTTCATCATATTATAATCTTTTTTCAAATGCTCTTGCTTATAAATGGATTATGTTTCATTACTCCTAAATTAATTGTACAATTGTGCAAACCGCCACAGTGTAAAATTAAATCATGTATCTCCAAATTTGAACTTTTTTATTAAATACTATTCCGTAAGTTTCGTGCCATTATTTTTATCAATGTTATAAAACATTTTTCGTTTACTGTATTTGTGTTTCAAATGATTTTGTAACAGAGAGGTCAAGGAAAGAAGTTTCTGATGTATTAGCCAATCAGTACTTTGTTGAAACAACTATGTTCACAGAGGCCAAGAATATGTTAGAGACTGATGGAGTTATTGTAATAAAAGGAGCTCAAGGGGAAGGTAAAACAACAATAGCTAAGAAGCTAGTTAACAATCCGGCCAAATGTTTAAAGATTAATTCTGTTGCGGACTGGGATATGTATTCAAGACACGATGTTGAAACTGTTCTTATTGATGACATGTTTGGTTGTACTATGTTTGACAAATATGAAAGTAGGAAATGGCTAAAAATATTTCCGCAATTGATGTCTAAAGTTTCAAATAAAGAGGTAAAATTGATAATCACATCCCGTTCGTATATTTTGGATGATGCGCAAAAGAAATTATTTATTTCCCACCACATCAGAGAATGCAATATGCTTGAAATCTCTTCGAAAAAACTTGAGGATAATGAGAAAATAAAAATAGTTGAAAGTCATTTGGAAATGAATGGAAAGAAAAAAGATAAAGACCTTATTAAAGATTGCGTTAAGCAGTCAAATAGACCGTCGTCATTTATTATTGGATTTCCTGAATGTGCTAGACTATTTTGCACCCAAGAAAGCCTATTTCAAAAAGGAGGTGCATTTTTTGAAACACCGATGACTCATATAAAAGCGTGTCTTAACAGTGTTTTTAACACCGATGAGGCATTTCTTGCATTCTTTGTTCTTTGGGCACAGCCATCCCAACAGCTTTGTTTGATGGATTTAGAACAAAGTCCCGCAAACACTCCAAACTATATAAAAGATCCAATTGAACACCTAGCTTATGACCTGTATCGTTCTTTGAGAATTATTGGTGACATTTTGTCCAATAACAAAGATTTCGTCTATTATGATACTAAAACTGAAACATTTCGATTTCAACATCAGGTATTAGGTGATGCAGTTGGCCTTGTTGCCTTTGAGAAAAACAAAACTGCAGTTTTAGAGTATTGTAACGCCTCTTTTATTGAAAGATATGTTTGTATTGAAGGACAAACTAACGACAAAACCCGAAATGGCACGACCCTTATTATCATACCTAAACGGTTTGATCAGCTTTGCTTGAAAATGGGACAACTAATATTTCCAAAAATCAAGAGAAACAAAGAAGATCATTATTTAAACTGTAGTCTTTTGTTACATCCTGCGTTCAAAGAAAAGTCTTTTTGTGCCACGTTTATAGAAACAATGAGGGAACAAAAACTGTTGTTAGAACTCTTAACACGGCCTGTTGGAACAGTTGTGACAAGCTTGTTAGATGTGCAGAGTGTAATTGATAAAGAAGTTACGAATACCGAAATCGGTATTCTGGTGTATGCACTGAGCAATTCATTGATGGCATTTGCCTTTGCATGTTATTCCGAAATGAAAAGTCATAATGTGTGCGTGGGCAGATTAGAAACTGATTTAAATATGTCAATGCTTTTGGCAGTTGTAGAGGGGGACAAAAACAGAATAAATTATCTAACAAAAGAAATGAAGGTTCAATCTGTTGATTGTAACATTATACTTTCCGCAATGAAAAAGGCAGATGACGCTTTGCTTGATACCGTATTAAACATTAGCAAAATGCCAATTAGCCAATACAAGAGAGAAGGAAAGAATCCCATGATAATTTTTGTTGAAGAAAATAACAAAAACGCCGTAACGTGTATAATGAAAAGCAAGTATTTTGATCACGACGTAGATTATCAAAATGAAAAAGATAAGAAAACAGCTCTGCATATCGCATGTGCACGGGGTAATTTGGAAATTACTCAGTTGCTCTTAACACAAAATCCGAACTTACAGCTTAGAGATAATAATAATGAGTGTCCAATCCATTCAGCTGCTTTGAATGGAAAAACAGAAATAGTTGACTTACTATTGGGCCACGACATCAAACAAGGCGATTACGTACTAGATTTATCAGATAATAAAAGAATGCCTCTTTACCACTTAGCAGTTTGGAAGCATGATTATAGCCTATTAGAGGTGCTTTTGGAACATAAAATACCGGTCACGTGCACCAACGTAAAAAAACAAACACCTCTAATATATGCTTTACAAAATCAAAAGTTTACCATGATTCCAAAACTTAGAAATGCATCCATTAAACAAAATGCGCACACATGTGTTGACAGCGAAGGTCAGACAGCGCTTCATTTAGCAACTGAAAGACTCCTTTTCAATAATCTTAATGATGGTGAACAAATTCATATCTTGAATGAAACTGTAGAACTGCTCTCAAAGGATGTAGGTAAGATTCCAAACAAACTTGGACACACACCTTTGCAGAACGTGCTAAAGAAAAGGCAATATCATCAAAAGAAATTAGACATGCATGACAATGTAATCAAAAGACTAAAGAAGTATGAATAAATTCTATACGTGCACTGTGACCCATGAATGGTCAATATTTTGTAAATTCATAGAAAACGGAACATTTCAAAATGCAATAACATATGATAAGAAAACATGTAAATATGTCAAAGCGTATTAAATGTACACTAATGAAAATCGTCATCTTTATGTTTCTTTATTATAAAACAACGACAACAAGAAAATTAAAAAACATAACAACAGTAAACAAATACAAAAAAGGCAACAACAGGAACATTAAAAAAGTAAATAAAAAAACAACGACACAAAATAAAACATCAACTCATTGTCTAAGTGTTGATTTTTATATTTGGTTTATTTACCGTCAATGTCTTGTTTGATGTCCCCCTCTCGTCATCAGCTGTCTGGTACATACTGATGGTCAAAAAGGGGATATCTGTCCATCTGTTCAATAGAGCGCCGACAAGCTGATCCACAGTCTTAAGTTTCGGTCTGATAGTCAGCGTTGCAATTCATCTCATGGTTACTATATAGGCTTTTAAAAATATCACAGGTGCAAGAAATAGGAATTTACACCTTCTTAATCACGCTGCATTGATTTTTGTTCCGATGTGTATTGAAATGCATAGACTAATGTGCTATTCGGGAGATAATTTCATTGCCGCAAGCGAAATGTTTGATATTCCTGATTAATATCAACGATATTTGTTCATTGTAGTAAATGAATTTTACTTTGGCCTGACGACCTCACATAAGCGGTATTCAGTCTTAAACATACACTGCATTAGCATTATACATGTATATCGCGATGATATATCTGTTACAAACGATATAGTACAATCGATTGGTCAAAGGCTATTATCATTATGTGCCAATGTCTGTAGAATCATTCTCTTACTTTTCAATTTTAATCATTTGAAGTCCAGATGTACAATGTGGATGTGATTTTTATCAAAATGGTTTGAAATTCTAAAAAAAAACGTTAAAGTCAAACATTGCGCAATCAAACACGCTTGTTTTTTATGCCACCGCAATCTGCGATGCGGTGGCATATATCGATTTACCTGTGTGTGTGTGTGTGTGTGTGTGTGTGTGTGTTGGTGCGTTGGTGTGCGCGTGTGTGTGTGTGTGTGTGTGTGTGTGTGTGTGTGTTATATAGATTATATAGTGAACTTAAAAAATCTTCTTGTGAAAAACTACCAGTCCAATTTCAACCAAACTTGGAAGGATTGTTCCTTGGGTGAAGGGCTTCCAAAGTTGTTCAAAGAACTTCATTCCATGCAGAAATCTGGTTGCCATGGCAACCAAAAGGAATTATAAGAATAAATTTAAAAATTCTTCTTGTAAAGACCCAAAAGGCCTAGAGCTTAGATATCTTGCATAAGGCATTGTCTGGTAGACCTCTAACAAGATTTTTCAAATTATAACCCTGGAGTCAAAATTGGCTCCGCCCCGGGGGTCATTGATTTTCACTATTGGTCATATAGTAAAGACTTTAAATACCTTCTTGTAAAAACCCAAAAGGCCTAGAGCTTAGATCTTTTGCATAAGGCATCATCTGGTAGACCCTTACCAATATTGTTCAAATTTTAGCCCTTGGGTCAAAATTAGCCCCGCCCCGGGGTCATTGATTTTCGTTATATGTACATATAGTAAGAACTTAAAACACCTTGTAAAGACCCAAAAGGTCTAGAGCTTAGATATTTTGCATAAGGCATTGTCTGGTAGACCTCTACCCAGATTGTTCAAATTATAGCCCTGGGGTCAAAATCGGCCCCGCCCCAGGGGTCATTGGTTTTCCTTATATGTATATAGTAAAAACTTTAAAAAAAAATTTCTAGCAATTGACAAATGCTAGAGGTTAGATATCTTGCATGAAACATTGTGTTGTAAACCTCTAGCAAGATTGTTCAAATTATAGCCCTGGGGTCAAAATTGCCCCCGCCATGGGGGTCATTGATTTCAATATATACATACAATGTATAGTAAAAAATAAAAAAAATCTTATTGTCTGATAGTACAAGGCTTAGAGGTTTAATATTTGTTAAATAATATCATATAAAGGTACTCTACCAAAGTTGTTTAAATTTTGCCTCTTGTGCCAAAATTAGCCCCGCCCCTGGGAGCCATAGGTTTATCTTATATGTATATAGTTAAAACTTAAAAAATCATCTTCTCTAAATTTACAAAGGATAGAGTTAAGATATTTTGCATGAAACATTGTGTAGTGAACCTCTAGCAAGATTGTTCAAATTATAGCCCTGGGGTCAAAATTGGTTCCGCCCTGGGGGTCTTTGATTCTCATTATGTACATATAGTGAAAAAAAAACATATTTTTGTCTGAATGTTGATGCACAGCTATGAAATTTGAACCATGCGGTGGCATAGCATTTTTCTCAAATGCAATCTTGTTTGTTGTTGTTGTTGTTTTTTTCATCGGCGATTTTTTATCAATAGCGTTTAAAATGAATTCCATATGTAGACTTTATTCTAAAGTGAATATATTTTCCAAATGAAAATAATGACACATATGCAGCAGAATTTGGGTATTTATTCGCTGTTTATCTTTCAATTTCTATTTATCTAATTTATATTCGTATACATTAAATTCTTATCTATAATAATATAAATTTGAATTGATTTAAACAAGTTTAATTGCTACTTTTTAATTGACAGTTAAACATTTGTATTTTGATACTGCGAAATGTAAGGATCAATTGTTTCTACTTCTTGTTTAAACTACGTGATTAGATATTATGTTGCATACCTCTTCCTTTTCAATAATTTAGTTTTTTAACTTATGATCTTGAACGTCCTTTCTTTTACGAATACAAAGTTGGTTACATAATACTGAAATAAAATCTATACGAATGCTCCTAGACGAATACGAACTGCAATAAATCTAAATTCATACATCTGGCCGGGAACCAATATGTCCGTACAAGTTCGTAATTTCTGATGGTGAACCGTTAAAATATTCTCTTAAAAAATCCACGAAATCCAGGGTAGCACTCCACAGTTAATTTCAAGTTCCTGCTGTCAATGTCCCACAAGTAATACGTCTAATAATTCTAATACAAAACTACACCTGGAAAAAGAAAACGCATTTTGTTGAGAACATATATGACATAAGATTGCAAATCTAATGTTTCCAAACCTCAAGGGAAGCAACGAAGAACCATATATGGACTGTAGTCTATTGCTACATCCTGCATTTAAAAAAAAGTCTTTTTGTGCCAAATTTATAGAAACAATGACGGAACAAAACATGTTGTTTGAACTTTTAACGAAGCTTGTCTGGACAGTTGTAACAAATTTGTTAGAAGTACAAAGTGTAATTGATGAAGGGGTTATCAATACCGAAATTGGCATTCTAGGGTATGCACTGAGCAATTCATTGATGGAATTTGCATTTGCATGCCCCTCATCGCCATGAAAATTTTGGACATGTGACAGGCTAAAAATGGCCTCAGGTCGATCTCAGGGTAACTAGTAACCGACGCTGAAAAGCCTTTTACTCTATCTAAATTATGAGAAGTTGCAGCACTTTGAAATCAGTTTTGATGGAAAAAAACAATGCAAAATAGTGGTTTTTCGCAATTTTGGGACGTCCCCCGTTGCCATGGCAACAGAAAATTCACGATTGAGCATGCTGTTACAGAGGCTATGATCTAGTCAACATTTGTGCCATGTTTCATCAGTAGTGAAGCATTTTTCATAGTTTCATAGCAGTTTGAACTTGTAACAGGAGGCTTTTCAATGAAAACTGCCATTTTTCACAATATGCTCATGGGGTAAAAGGTTAAATCCAGAATATTCACTATATCCAAGAAATCCTCCCTCTCTGGCCATTCGAAGCTGTGGCTTACATTACTGTGGTGTGCTACCTACAAACTTGGATTTAATCGCCGCGTAGCATTGTTTCCTTACGGAAAATACCGACGCGATACATGAGTTACTAAGATTTTGCGCTAGAATTTAAGGTCTGGTACCCAGCTAGGACACAAAAAGCAAATATTTATCACGTGGTTTCTAGTTTTTATTTGTTCTTCTGTTCTCCTTATTGAAATGAGTCAGTTGTATTTCGCCTAAGGTTGTTTAATGTTAATAATTTCATAAAGTTAGAATATGGATAAATCTCTATAACAACAATTCTTATACCCTCTACATACAAATTTATTTTCAGTGTGAATCGAATTGGAATAAGAGTTGCACAAATACATTTGCTAGAAACAAGTTCGAGAAAACACACTTTCTTTTAAATAAGTAGAAATAGCACATGTTTAAAACAAAAAGTAATTTCTTGGTATCTAATATAAAATTAAACGAATTAAGATGAAGTACTGACATTGGCTTTAGAATATGACAAATTACTATAGTCATAGTAAGAAAATATAAATAAATATTAAAGTAAAGAACTTTGATTAACTCACAGATGAATCAAAATTGTAGGAATATGATTTAAACTTAAGCAAATGAAAACAACAAGTAGTCAAATGAATACATACCCAAATTCTGCTCCATAGACACAGATTAATAGAAAGAAATTGAAACGTATTACAAAGTTTATATTAGTATTTTACCAACAATTATTGCTTTACAATGAGATAATGAAAGTATGATGAACACTGAGTCGCTAATTAGAACAATGCTGAAAATTTAACATTTAAGATATCTTTTTGTTCGCTGATTGTAAATATTTAAATGTAAATTGTTGTTTCAAAATATACTCGAGAAAAAAAGAACAACATTACATCATCTTTAAACTATGTAAATATTTTGAATTTTTCTGTGCAATTGAATCTTTATCTTTTGACATTTTATAAATGTATATGATAATTGTGTCAGTGTTTTGGAAAATGAATGTATATTCTATTTAATGTAAAAGAGTTTTTTGCAATCATCTATAATGCAATATGACATGATATATTTGATATAAATCTCTACGTTTTGCATAATATTCATAACATACTGGTATATTTATACTTTTTTAACATGTCTTTTTATGTTACATTTCATAAATATATTTTAATATTTTACTAAGTGATACTAGCAATCGTATGCCCATCAGTTAAAGATGCTGTATGTTGTAAATAAGGTTGTAACCACATTTATGTAAAATTTTATGTATATAATTATGCTTCTAAAACACATTTCAAACACCAAAGAATATGTAAAATATGTACTGCAAATATTTGTCCACAATATATTCATTCATTTCTTATTGAAAGATTTGACTCAGACTTTATTGGAAATAAATTTCCAGTTACCTCCCTTTATTAACATGAAATGTAAATTCGGTAAATATCTTTAGAAATAATGCTTCTTGGGACAATATTGATACATTATATTTATGATATACTCGTAAGATCATAAAAATCAGTTACAGGATCTTTAACGTTTTAGTGTTCGTTTATGCTAAATTTTTATGTGATAGCCTAATATTGACTCTTCGATCTGCCTTATATTTTATCATGCTTTGTATTTTGCACCATGTCTTATATAAATAAATAATATGTTTTAAATTATCATGGAATGAGTGAATATATATATATATATATATAGCACAATGCAATGTTAACACAATGCAATATTTACATTAATACTTAAATTATGTTACATAAATTGATAAACAAAAATATTTGGAAAAAATGAACGGCTGTACACAATTATCCTTTTTTAAAAGGTATTTAAGCCTGACAAATCTAAAAATCCAAATTGGATTATCATTTAGTCTTACCACACAGAATAATTGATAGTTTTCAACATTGTTAGGTGTAATTTGTATAGATTTTTTCCCCAATATTTTGCAAGTTAAATAATGTCATTTGTTTTTTTTTGTTTTGAATCTTTCTTAATTTTGATAACCACGTTATCTGTATCATATTCATTTATTCAACATCAGGTCATTGAAACGTTTTTCTTAACTATATATTTATCCTAGCCTATGACATTAAATTTTCCCCGGTTTGTATTTAGTGTAAATCGTTATATTATCATCTGTTGTGGGCAACTTAATGCTGTCTGAGTGTAATAAAAACAAAAATGTTGCATATTTTTGATACATATGCTTAAATCTGGCTTGAATTACT